TGATGAAATGAAGAATGGAGCTAGATACAGAGCACTGATGAAAGGAAACCTGTTAGATGCTTCAAGAGCCTGGAGAGCAGGGAGAATATTCACCTAACAAGACAAAGAGCCTAAGTACACACCCACTGTTATGGAAAGGTGATCAAAGCATAAACATATATAAGAATGGCCCAGTCAAAACCTAAATCCAATTGGAAGCATCTGATGACAAGTTGGTGCAGATGCTCTCCATTTCATCAAACTGGGCTTGAAGAGAGGGCAGAAATTTCAGTCCACATTTACAGCAAGTAGAGAAATAATTAAAAACATCTGCAGTCCTAATTACAATGAAAACAGGTTCTAATTTGTGATTTGGAGGATGAATACAATTTCACATTTTTCAGGTGTTTCACAACAAGACAAATAAAATTAAAACAACTCATTATTTTCCTGCTACTTTTCAGTTGCCAACCACCAAATATGAAAGAGGTCAAATATGAGAGAGGGTATACCTTTAGAAGGCAGTGCAAGATTTAGATAGCAAAGGCAGTTTCACAGAGTTAAGTCCCCTGGACTTTAGAGCACATTTTGACTTGAAGCACAGAGTGACTACAGCTTCAAGACATAAAAGACTAATAATTCTGAAGGGGAAAAACTAAAATGAGACGGCTAACTTACCAAACATCGGTCATCTTTCCCAGAATTTCCACTGGATCCCTCCTGTCCCTACAGCCTGAACTCAAACGGACCGCTGCATCAGCTGGTTATGTACCATGTAGTTTGTATTTACTTACTCTGGCTTCCCTGCGTGAGAAACACAAAAATGAAGCTCTCCCGCGCCGTTTACGCACAATGTTCGTGAGTATTACTACCGCGCAACACTGCGCAGCTTACTAGTACAAGAAGAAAAAGCATGTAAAGGTTAAGCTCTATAAAGAATACATAAAAAGTGTAATTAGAGCCCAAATATAAAACAAAGAATGCACCTTGTGGTACTTTTATTAAAACAATTTCCCAAACCTCTGTTGAATTTCATCATCGGATGTTAGGGCTCATGGATAATTGTCGTACATCCTAAAAAACGAATACTATTATGTTTAGTAAATAATTTTACCAAATATGCAAATTATTTTAAAATATTTGCTTTTATGATTAGATAGTTACTTGAATGTTGGACGTGTTTCTTGTTTTGGAGAACGATTATTAAGGAACAGGCTGTTTGCTTATTATAGTGCACGCATTTTATGACGGTCCCTTTAAGCCGGCTGCTCCTCAAACATGGCCGACAGTTGACAGGGGACGTAAGGGACTTTTCCCACAGCGTTCATTTCTGACAAGTTCTGTAAAAGTTTTATAAGCGACTCTCTATCCGTAGTTAGCGACTAACATGAGGTTAGCCGTTGAGAATTTGGTAACACTGTAGAAAAATGGTTTAGTTTTATTTTTTTTGTTATTCACGTTTAAAATGTACAGTTCGACGCCGGACAACGGTCTGATGCGCTCTGAGGAATGTTCTGGCAGCGCTAGCAACCTGTTGGTCCACCGGAACCTCAGATCTGTCCGGAGACAGCAGGTTGAGAGCAGCATTAGCTTGTTAAGTTTGGCGAGCGAAGAGGACGAAGACGTCCAGTTTGACAGTAAGGATCTTTGCTTCTTTTACAAGAGTTTCATTTTTGTCGAATAATTCGTTTACATCGCATTTTTAGATCTACTGGTACAATCAAAATAAAAATAAAAATTTCATTGATGCAGCTTTTCCAGATCTCGCGAGGCTAGCTGCAACACATGAGACATCACTATGGCCTTATTTGATTATATGAATTAATTGAAGATATGTTACATTTAAAATATAATAGTTAATGTTGATATAACAAATGTGTTGTGCAGTTTTCTTAATGCATGTTGTGCAGTTTTCTTAATGCATTATCTTAATTAATTCATATTTTTTGTGGAGTAAATAATCACAACTTTAATATTCAGCTATTACCTTTTTTAAGGTGCAAGCTCTAAAAATCTTCAACTGTTAGGGAAATGATGAACTGTTTTCTGTATATTTTTAAATTAACTTACTATTTCAGAGGTGATAAAAAATAATTAACATAGATATATATTGCTCATAAATGGCATCCACAAAAACAACTTTACAGCATAAATGTTATTCATTATGGTTAATTAGCTATCTATATTAGGAATTTTATAGGCCATATTGACTAATAACTTTTCTTGATTAAAATTGTCAAAGTTGTGCATAATTTTATGTGTGAATAGACTGCCTGTAGTTGAAGCTCATGAAGAACATTATGCTGTTTGTCCTCTTTCTCCCCAGTATTATTAAGCTTAGTTATCCGTATGATTTTTTTTGTCTCATTTCATGACGCACTTTGGGCTTTTTGTTATTCAGTACAGGGTTAGGTAAAGGATTAGAGATTATTATTCCAAACCAACAGTCTGCAGTTGGGTGTAATGTCTACTGTGTAATGAGATTTCCATGGTGATGGCAACAGTACCACTGTATCTTGGCATTTATAAAGTTCAAAACAAGTAAATGTACAGTTATAGCTACTGTTTAATTTAAAACCATCAGCTGTTGTTCAGTTGTGGCTGAAGTACCATTATGAGAACCTCCTTCAGTGATCCAGAAGGATCCTTCAGAAATCCAGATGGATCCTCCAGAAATCCAGATGGACAAAGGAGCGTTCCCAGGTGATACTCCTCTCAGCAGGTGTTACACTGTGTAGCCATCACTCCCATAAACTGACCTAAAACACTTTCTACATTCCTATTCTTTGTACTGGTTTCCATACTAGTTAATAGTATTTTTGAAACAAATATTAAAAGCACAATTTG